TGTTGATTCAAAGCAGGAGTGAAGTTCTTCCACATCTTGTTTAGTCCACTTTTTGGATGTCCTGACCACAGGTTTGGAGAGCTTTAATCTCTGCCTGTATGCGGGGATCAGATGGATCAGGACGTGATCCGATAGTCCGAGCGCAGTACACGGCACCGCATGGTAGGCTCCCTTTATTGTTGTGTAACAGTGATCCAGCGTGCTGTTTTCCCTGGTTGGGTAGTAAATTAATTGTCTGTATTTCGGTAGTTCTTTGCTCAGATTCCCCTTATTAAAGTCACCAAGGGCAATGATCAGGGAGTCGGGGTGTTTTTGCTCCACACACAGAATTATATCCCCAAGCGCGTGCTGTGCCGCCTGCGTGTCGGCACTCGGCGGGATGTAAACAGAGGCCAGAATGAATGAGGAGAATTCACGGGGCGAGTAAAAGGGCTTGCATTTTCAACATTTATATGATTCAACATTTATAATGCATTTGGTTTATATTGATTACCTACATGATAATAATCTGTAGTAATGTGTTGTGTACAAGTTCATTCTGTAGCTTAAATCATACATGAAAGTCCTGAAAGCTTCTAGAATAAACTAAATTACTTTACCTGAAAACGGTTGTGAACAAACACTGCTGATGGAGGTAAAGCTGCTGTAGCTCCTTAAATATTCCTGCTCGATTTTCGCTAGCTTTAGCATTTTTCCTTTGCTTGTAGCTGCCGCCACGGCTGTGACGGGACCCGCGGACCACCGTAGAGGTGAAGACCAGACTGTCCAAATTCAGAGCCGCTGGGTTCCGGTTTTAGCGGTCAAGCAAGGACCCGCCCTTGCTAGACCGGCGAGGACCCGTACTCACAAGCATCCTGCTCCTGGGTTCGGACACAGTTGGATCAAAGACGTTTTCTGCACGTAAACAAGTACTGTGGGAAAATGTGGTAAAGACTAAAAGGTAAAGCTATTTATGTGTCGATGGGTAAAGATCTCTGTCTGAAAGTGACCAATCACGTTAGGGAATACGGCTCCTTGGAACCCGCCCCCCAAAGTGTCAAAAGTGAAACTTGTCCGATAGAGTGGAGTTTCTACTCGAGAGCAGAGGAGGCTGCACAAGCGTGTGTTAACAGTTCAACGCGCGTAGTACCCACACTTACAAGCAACAGGTACAATTGTCTGTGCTTGACTGGATACAACCTGAGGGTCTTCGTAAACACGCACATTCACGCAAGGTGGTTTTTCGCACTAGTAGTTTTAAACATGCGCGGAGGACTTTTTGAGCACTAGTGGATGGGAACTTATCCTCTTACGGATGTTTAATTATCCTCTCGTGATTGTGCGTGCTCTCGCAAGACCTTATTGACATAAAATTGACTCCATGGACGCGTAGAAACAGAAGCCGTCGGACTCTGCACTGGACACCACACCTTTCTGTCTGGAGTTTGACCTGCTATTGCCAATAATGATAAATTTTCTATTTATAGCCCAGCCCTAGGCCGAGGCTTCCTTGTTGGTAACCAGATTTCTGAGGGTTTCCAGTCGAGTCCTGCCGCAGTACTGAGACTAGTGAAGGTCTTCAGTCACATCCTGCTGGCTACAGAATCTAGTGCTTTAGACATGAAGTGGACTGGAGTGATGACGTGTGTGTGTGTGTGTGTGTGTGTGTGTGTGTGTGTGTGTGTGTGTGTGTGTGTGTTAGGGGCTGCATGACTTATTTTTTTAAGTCGACAGTCAAGTAATGAAAATCGAGTCGACTTTGACTAGTCGTTGATGACGTCATACACCTGACGGTGTTGGTTCGCTGGAGCTTTTGACAATTAAAATTGCGCCCACATTTTCAAAGTTAAACACATCTCTCTTAACAACGGTAGTTTCTGCATCTTGCTTCAGCCCTCTGCCCCCTCCCATTGCGCAGCGGCCGCTAACTCCTGCAGCCTCTCAGAGTTCCTGCTGATCTAAACATCGAAAGAATCGTTCAATTTTCTGTTCCTCATTTCTGATTATTTTCAATGGCGTCTGTTTGTTGCAACCACAAAACCACAAAAACGAACTTGTCTTTATTTGAATATTTTCTTCCTGCATCTCCTCTCAATCCTAAAGAAAAACTGCTACCTGGCTTCATGAATTTTCACCTCACGAGTTACCTTTGAACTGCAGTTCTAAAAGATCTACCGACCCCAAAAACAGCTGAGTGCGTGCTGCGCGCCGGCCGCACCAATTAGGTGCGTCACCGGAGGACAAAACAGGTGATGCGCTCCGCTCCACAGCAGCGAAACGCATCAGGCACAAATAAAAGACAGAAAACATAAAAGGAAATGAGCCGACATGAACGATCGTGTGTTAAATTTGTTTTTGAGGTGGCGACACCTAACTTGATAATGTTACTGTGGCCGTGCTCAGGGCGCAGATGTCTGGAGCTTTGCATGCACAAGCTGGTCAAGGTTATGATGGGGGGATGGGGAAGGTTAAATTGCAAGAGGGTAAAGGTCACAATTCGGTCAAATGTCCATTTTATGGTGGGTGTCAGATACCGACGCTCTGGCACAGCTCGTCGCCTCCCGATGAACAGGGGCTCGACACCTGCTGTCTTTTCCGAGGACTGCATCTTGTCGGTCATTATCACGTGACAGCGACTAGTCGATGACAGGCATAAAACGTCACTACAGAGCCGTGAAGTCCACTAGTTGATACAACCCCGAGTGTGTGTGTGTGTGGCTCTGATCGGGGGAGATGATTAAAGGTGAGGTAGACGGGAGGACAGTGGGAGGTGACTGAAGAACCCCCAGCTTCACCATAGTCTTGTTTTAGCTGAATAAATGAAACTAGCTGGTAGTGACTGACCCTGACCTAACCTTTAGCTCCGACCTTCAGTTCCAACGAGCCCCGCCTCCACAGACTGAGAGGTGGAGACCGGGTACCACAGCACAGAACTCCTCATGGGCCGGCAGTGGCAGAGGGGTCAAGTGCCTGCCCTGTAACCGGAGGTTTGCAGGTTTGAGTCCCACTCAAGTCTCTCACAGTTGATGCAGCCTTGGGCAAGACATTGAACCCACCTTGCCTGCTGGTGGCGCCTGTGCTCTGCAACTTTGCCTCTCAGTACGCCCCAGGGCCGCTGTGGAGCTCATCACCACCAGGGTGTGAATAGGTGAATGATTGATTGTGTTGTAAAGCTGCTTGGGGGGCTGTAGAGCCCTAGAAGGCCGTTTATCAGAACTCTTTGGTAAAGTATAAATACACGCATTAAAGGTTTACTAAGAAACATCAACATAACCCTTGAAAGATGATTTAATCTGGAATTGTCTTCTATCAGATCAGCTGCCAGCTCATCAGTCTAGACTGGCATAAACCCCATTTCTCTGAAGAGAGGCTGTTCAGGAAGTATCTTATCAATCATTTTATCAAAAACTTTCCCCTTAAAGAAATAAAGTTGTTTTAATTACAAATTTAATCTTTTCAGATTATTTCTGTCATTTGCAGTCCCCCACCCCGATAGCATTAATCCTCGCTGATGCTGCAGCAGCTGGCGAGTTCAAGACACAAATGAGAATTATCCAAGGTTTTTCTGTATTTTTAATTTATTTATAATCATCACTAGAAGACAATCACAATAACCCCTGACCTCACCCGGCCACGCCCCTGGCCCCACCCCTTCAAAACAGCAAAAAGAACAACAAGCATTACAAAACCCATCCTAGGAAGAAAACCAAAACAAATGTACAAGAAGTTCAATCGATCCAGCCTCGAAGACTGAAGTCTGAGATGTCTTAAAAATAGATTCTGTACACACTCTGATGATTCACTGTACAAATGTGGCAACGCAACAGTTTCCCTGTAGCAGACATGCAAAGACCTTAAAGCCACTGGAGTGGTCCGCCTCGTAGATCCTTTATTATTACGCTTGGTTTCCTTTAAGAAGAGTTAAATAAAGTCTCCAACTGGCAGGAAGAACCAGGATTTCATCTCGGAATGGCTCGGAACACCAAACAGGATGGTAAAACGTTAGAGAGAAGAAACCCATCATCCCCTTTGAACCAACAGCTCTGCCGAGGCCTGAGTCTACGAGTTAAAGGGATAGTCCGGACTTTACTTTTCCCTGAGCCAACCTCAGCTCAGAGAAACAGAGATGACTCAGCATCAGGCCAGCTCTAAAGTGGAATCCTGCACTTCAACGGTTTTATTTACCAGTGTCTGATCCACTTTCTATGTTTTCCATCAGCTGTCATCAGGAGCAGGGGGCGGGCTCAAGGAGACCAGCAGCCAATGGGAATGAGGTGAGCTCCATGTTTAAGATCAGAGTCTGTTTCAGCGGGAAGAGCAGGAGCTTCCTTCTGAGCTGCCTGCATGCATGCCTGCATCACTGAGTGGGCGGAGTCTCTGTAAACAGCAAGAAGTCCTCTGATTGGAACAGCCTGATTGCTCATATCTGCTATGTAAGAAACCTCTATAGTTCAACACGAGGGAGTTTTCTCCTAACGTGTGATTGGCTCTGGCAGGTCCCTGGAGGTCTGCAGGAACCAGAACCTACAAGAAAAGGTGAAATAACTAAAACGTATCATCTGAAGCTGGCTGGGGCTATTGCTCTGGTCAGACGACGACTTCCTGTTTCCATAAACCCCGCCCTCTTTAGGTGATGTCACTGGTAGGGTGGCAGTGATTAACCATTTGACTGTTAGACCTGGCTAAGCCCTTGTAAAGCTGTCTCCAATGCCTTATAATAAAACTAAAGTGAAACTGAACACGGCAGAAGCATCGGGACTGCTCCGTTTCCACCTAGGAGGTGGTTCAAGTTTCCTGTGTGGGAATATATCTAATTTTTCTCAAATATTCCCACATCAGGGACTTCTACCTCCTCAGTGGAAATGTCGTCCCGATTCTTCGGCTGTGGTCAGCTTCACTATTGCCTGTTTGTTTTCTGTAGTCGGTGTTGGCTGGGGCTAACGGTCAAACCGGTTACTCACTGGTGGGATGGATCTTACTCCGGATATCTTACTCCGGATAAATAACTGAAAGAGCATCAATTAAGAACATTGATTTAATGCATTTGTTTGCAGGCATGTTTCCATGGAAACCACCTGAACCTCAGGTAAGATTAAAGTCAGCTATCTCTTCAACATGACTGCTTTAACAGAATTACAGGAAGTCCTTATAAGGCAATGCACATTTGCTTCCAGGGTGAGTGTGGTTATGCCAACAGGAAGTGATGGTGGAGCGTTGATCCAGGTGATGCAACAGAGGAAATCAGGTGTGTATGATGTTCCAGGACCTTGCACACAGGGGGGCTAATGGGGACCATGCACTTAGTTAACTTGATGACTGCAGTCTAAAAAAACCTGCAACACATGTGAGACATCCTCCGTGTGCCCTGCCAAGACCCGAGTGTCCCAGAATGACTTGATGCTAGGAGGTCCGAACCAGTTCAGTCCCAGTGGTGTCGCTGTGGTGTCCAACACACACACACACGCACGCACGCACACACACACACACACACACACACACACACACACACTCAGAGCCTCAGCAGCTCTGACAGAGTCCAAAAGGCTTTGATAGATTTCAGAAAAGTTCTTCTGGTCTCACTCCTCTTCTTCTTCCTCTTCACCATCAGGCAGCGGTAGCAGCTCCTCCTTTAGACACTCCCTGTAGAAGCTGGTCAGTGTGGAGTAAAGATGCCGGCGGCTCTGCTGCGACAGGAAGTAACCCTCGTCCGGGTAGATCTGCGGGGAAAAAGATGGGCTGTTTCAATCAAAACTTCATGTCGATGAAGGTAGGTCCAGGGGAGGTCTTGGAGGAAGTAGGAGCAGCTGTGGGACACCTGGGGTCTCATTTATCAAACATTGCGTGTAATCTTTTCTAAAACCAAGTAGGTTTGTGATCTATCAAACATGGAGTACACACAGCTGCACGCAATCTCCGCTTCATAAATCAGAGACTAACGAGAATGTTTCTCGGCTGCATTTTAGTCACATCCCGCCCTCACCACGCCCACTTACTGCCACAAATAGTCAACGCAAAGTGCCTTGTGGATCTCATGCATATACATAAGCCGGCTGTTGCAGCTCTCTGCCAATGACATGACGACCGTAGATCAAGGCAGACCAAGGAAGCGCTATTTCATAGAAGCAGAAAATGAGGTACCTGTGGGTGAGGTGGAGAAATGAAAGGAAGTGCTTTTGCAAAACAAATAAGAGAAAATCCACTGAGAGGCACAGCGTTGCTGAAGCCGTCAATGCTGTGAGTTCCTCAGAGCGATCTGTGGCGGATATAAAAAAAAAAAGGTCCAATTGGGATTTGATCCCCAGTCTCCCAAGCGAAAGTCACGGGCGCTAACCAGTCAGCCAAATGGAGATCTCCCCTGTCCAAGTAGCCAGGGCGCATGATCAATCGGGTCACAGTGACAGGACACACACGCTGTCACAGACGTATGATGTTCTGTCTCAATCTGTCCCCCTGCTGATATTCTGCGCTTGAGGCTGTGTGTGTGTGTGTGTGTGTGTGTGTGTGTGTGTGTGTGTGTGTGTGTGTGTGTGTGTGTGTGTGTGTGTGTGTGTGTGCGTGTGGGGGGTCTTGTTCTGTGAGAAAACGAAGCAGTACAAGTGATAATGCTGCAGGATTTCATAATTGTATCTTCTCAGCAGCAGCACTGCAGGTGCTCTCCGTGTCCAGCATGTGCGTTAGCCAGGTCCTTAGTCAACTTAAAGTTGCGCACATTTTTCCGCTACGTTTTCTTTGTTTTGTCCTCCAGACCCGGTTATTTTGGGTTTCTTAGAATAAACCCTTTTCTTACCAAACCACATCTTCTATGGTACCTCCAGCTGAGCTGGGTCGTGACATAGAAGAGCTGGTTCAGTAGGAAAAAGGTTTATTCTAAAAAACCCAAAAGAAATCTCTCTCAAACTAAAACCAGCGGAGCTGTTGTCAGGACAAAGGTCCAGGTGTCCTGCGGCCAGAGGGCAGCAGCACAGAGAAAGGTGACCTGCTGCCTGTTCTGCACAGAACATCAGCTGGTCTCTCTGGTTTAGCATAGCGCTGCCCCTCAGGCTAGATAAAATCATCGCTTTACATCCTGATGCTTTTATTGTTGGAGCGTAAAATGCGTTTCACTTATTTTCTGCTAGATTGACCCATGGGGACAGCGTGGACATCAGTGTGGATGTTCTCTACAGTCAGCGAGACTGTCTGATGGGACGCTTCTCCAAGGGACCGTTGGCAAATATCAAGTCTGTTTGAAACACGTCAGTGGCCTAAAGTCTCAAACGCAGCCAGGTGCCTTTTAGATTAATCAGACGAGGTTTAGGTCACATGACCTGAGAGCTATCCTTTAGGTGAAGTGACCAGTTTCTGTGGAAAGCTATGGCTGACCAGAGAGAACGTCTGTCTAACACCTGCTAAATGTCCCCACGACCCAATCCTGTTGCAGGATGTATGATGGACGCGGGTTAAAACCGTGAGACTCACCTGCATCGAGTAGTTGGCTCCAACCTTCACCAGGTTCTTGACGAGCTCAGCGGTATGCTGAAAGTGAACGTTGGCTGGAAGAAAAAAACAAACATGTCAGCAGATTCTGATCCACAATTCCAACATGCATGATTTATCCGGTGTGTTTTCCTCAGGATACCCTGCCATCCATCCAGATTAGCAGCTTTTCTTCTCTCATTTGATTAAAAAGCATTTGCCTCATTACCTCCCACCACCCTAAGCCTCTTTGTGCTGCACCACAGTTACATTATTTTCATCTTATCTGAATTTATCGTCTCTCACCGTCTGCCGTGCCGTGCACCAGCATCAGAGTCTGCTCCCTCAGAGCCTGGACGTTCTGCAGCAAACTGGAAAACTGAGAAGATCAAAGCGACTGCAATCACAGATATGCTAAAATAAAACCACGAGAGTCACAAATTCAGATTTGTGTCAGGATGGAAAAGTAAACGTGTCGAGATCAGACTTGTTTTATTTTTAGAGGAAAGACCCACTTCTAGCTAACATCTCGTCTCCAGCGGTGACAGCTGAGTGACAAAGTCCCACATAGCAGGAACAAAACCCTAACAGCGACTCTGGGAAGAGAAAAGCTGCTCCGGCTCCGGCTGACAGACGCAGCCTGCTGGAACGGCAGGAGTTTAACGGTGGGCGTGTCAGCGTGTGATGTGCTTTCAAAGATCAACGGCAAACAAGCCAGAGGAGGCAGGAAACACGCACCTGATATCTGCTGTCATCTCGTAACGGCATGCCGAGGTAGCGCTCCGAGAAGGCTGACGCTGTGCAAATGAGGAGTGATGGATGTAAACACAGATTCACTTACAGCTGCATCACGGATAAATCCCACCAGAGAAACGCTTTTCCTCACCGTAGAGCTTCCAGTCTGTTACTGGGGACACGGCACACGCACACTTAAACAGGTTGTCGGTGGACTTCAGCATCATTAAGGTGAGATAGGCTCCGTAACCCTGGAAACAAATTAGAATGTAACCCAGGAAGACTTAGAGTGGAGTCGGAGCGAGGGAAGCCTCTCACCTTTCCATACACCGCTATCCGTGTTCGGTCGACGTACGGAAACTTCATCATGTATCTAGGAAGAGAAACGTAAAAAATCTGGATGTTTTTAATACTTCGGATTCTTCAGGAGGTCGTTAAGATAAAGCAGGTGTGGCGAGTCGCGTCTGTGACACGTACTCTACAGCAGCCACCTGGTCCTGAACGTCCACCGTTCCCAGCCTCTGGTGGACCTCGTGGAGGATCCTCTGACCTTGGAAGCCACTGCCCCGACCGTCCAATTGGATCACGATGACGTTATCAGAACTGACCAGAACCGAGTCCCAGCTGAGGGAGAAACGGTCGCTCACGGCCTGACCACCGGGGGCGCTGTCACTAAACAGATCAAAGGACCAGTTAGTGTGATCCAGATGTGACGCCCGGCCAACGCGTGGTACCTACACGATCAGCAGCAGGCCATAATGACGGGACTCGGAGAAGTCCATCGGGTAGGAAATCTTCAGAGGTAAATCTGTGAAGAAAGAGTCGGGAATTCTTATCGACATTCCTGCATGGATTCACAAGCTAAAAAACCCGTTCTCACCAAAATGTTCTATGTGAACGTTTCTGAAGTCCGTCAGCTGGATCCGTTTGTGCTTCAGCGCCGCCTTCAGCAGTGAGTTGCTCTCAAGGATGAAGTAATCTGTAAGAGGATAGAACGACCTGAGATGACCCCGGCACTAAACCTGGAATCATTCCTCAGGAGCTTCTTCTCTTCTGGTCATGAAACGAGCAACAGGAGCACCGATAAACACACACTAACGTGGTTATTGGTGCTGAACCTGTTCCCAAACACAAACCCAGCTTTTCCCTTCCCTGGGACAAACTGCAGCTCCTGCTTTGGCCAGTTTTCCAGCATTTTTAATGGGAAACTTCTCATTATGGAACTGCCGAGGAGCCGGAGTCCCAAGCTTTGGACAGCAGACCCGTCTAAATAACCTGCAGCGAATCATTTGCTTTTCCACAGCACAGCTGTTAACAGCTGGACATGCGGCCATGAAAACGAGAGTGACGTCAGCAGCTGTCTGCAGGATGTGGACGCTTCCCGGGAACAAAGGAGGGAAACGGAATCTGACTGCAGGAATGATTCCCAGTACTTTAACCAGACATCAGGACGGGAATTATCTGGGATTGTAGGAGAATTGAAACCCAGATAGACAGGATGCAGCTACAGTTCCACACTCATCAGTGGGGAGGCCATCTTGGATTGGACTGATTCCAAACCCTAATCAGCTGCAGGCGTTTCTGAGAGCCACCCTGTGTTGTTCAGATCTTTTATGAATGAGAACATAAATAAACTTCCCGACTTACTGGAGTCATTGAGGCTGTGGAGAATCACCGCCGGAGCGCCGGGACCTGAAACAGGAAAACTACATGAATTATGTGGAATCCTGAAGGAATTCCTAAACAAACGTAGAGGAAAAGCATCCAATAAATCATATCTGAATACGAGTTAAAGCTAAAACAAGCTTCAGTCTTATTTCCTGTCGGCGAGTTCCTGAATAGATGTCACTGCGCCTCCTGCTGGTCACAAACCAACAGAGCATGGAACCAATCAGATGTCTGGAGTCGGTGAGGTCAAAGTTCATGAGTTAAAGGCTGAACACAGGTGCCTGTTCTGCCGCCATGTTATCACCATGGTAACCGAGTCAGAGGAGCGTCCGCCCATCACTAAACACTTTATTAGCTTGTTTCTGATTGGCCGTTATACCCCAGAATGAAAACGCTTCACAGGCGGCGCTCTTCTGCTGCTTCCATCCTCTAAATCACACAAAATTTAATCTTTGTAACATCGCATTAACATCCAGTTTATGTGAAGCTGTGTGCGGCATTCAGCTGCAGCTTTAACAGCAGGAACAAAGGTTACGTCCTACCTTTACAGCGCAGGAGGACGTTCTGGGTGGATGGGCTGAAGTCGGCGTCGACGTAAAGACAGTGAGCTTTATTTAGCTCACAGGTTAGACATCTCCGTGGAAACAATCCCACCGTTTTCACACTGAGCAGGGAAAGACAGAAATGTTATTAACAGCTCCGCATGTGTAGTTTAAAGATCAGAAACGTTTACCACCCCTAACAGGAGTCGGGAAGACGACATCATAATAACAATTTCAAATAGTGGCTTTAGTTTAACACAAAGCTCCAGTTTATAAAAGGTTTTCTGGTGAGATTTGGTTTAAAAAGGAGTCAAACCTGTAGAGCTGCTGTCGCCGTGGCGATCCTTCAGTACTGAGAAAATATCTGAAGAAAACCAAAATAAACAAGATGTAATAAACTAGGTCAAGGTCACTTTTATTTATAGCAGCAAGGCTACACCCAAAGCACTGTAAAACAAGCCAAGGTACAACAGATCAACAATAAAAACCTAAAATAAGATGAGGACACAACAGCCACAATTTATAATAAAAACTGTTAAAAACTATTAAGATGCTCAACCTCCATTAAAAGCCAGATAAAAAAAATGTATCTTAAGAAAGGATTTAAAATGTTCTAGATTCAGTGTGGTCCTGATGTTGAGTGGTAGCTTGTTCCACAGTTTGGGCCCAACCACAGAGAACGCTCGTCACCGCGAGCCTTAAGGGTTAGCTGTTAAAAGAGCTAGAGAACTAAACCAAGTCTGTAGAAAACTTCTGATCTCCCCGCTGATTCAACTCACAGGTTATCATTGCTCTCGTCATAGGAGATGATCCGGGTCACCTCCCAGTTCCCAGATGTTAGATGTCTGACCTCGTTCTGATCGGCTCGGAGCTGAGAGGAAAACAAACCAGCAGCTGATTCACCCGGGTTCAGAAAGGCTTTGGTTAGTGTTGTCTGCATTCTGGGATGGCTTTACGTCCTTGTTCTTTTTTAGTGTGTGTGTGTGTGTGTGTGTGTGTGTGTGTGTGTGTGTGTGTGTGTACCTGTGTTGTGAACATGGCGATATGGTGGAACTCCCCTCTCCCTCCTTGTTTAACCGGGACCGTTAGGAAGAATCGGTTGCCGTCGTTGGAGAAAACTGGTTCTTGGTTCTGTGAATAAAAATGATGAAACATTTAAACCTGAAGCAGCAGCAGCAGCCATACACGCCTCAGGTGTCCACCGCATCAGAGGACTCGATGGGCGAGGCGTTTATCACAGAGTCTCGGTAACTTGGACTCTAGTCTGAAGTTTCTGAGTCTAAGATGAAAAAGGAGTTTCAATTCCTGAAAAACTACAAAGGGAAGTGTGTGTGTGTGTGTGTGTGTGTGTGTGTGTGTGTGTGTGTGTGTGTGTGTGTGTGTGTGTGTGTGTGTGTGTGTGTGTGTGTGTGTGAGACCAAGAAAAATAATAAAAGGATCAAAGCATCAAAGATGGAGGCTCCATCTGTAAGTTCCTAGAGAGCTAACGATGATCCCAGAGTTACTGTAAGCTGTTAAAAGCATGAAGAGATTATTTTCAGAGAGAAAATCCAAAAGTGAGACTAATTTAGTGTTTGGTTCATTAGCGGTGGCACTGATTTAGGATCCGCGTTTAAAATTCCCATTTTAACTCTTAAAAAGCAACAAGCAGCAGGAATTCTGGTGGATAAACAAACGTTTACCTGCTTTGAAAGCCACAGCTCAGAGCTTTCTTCATGTGTCTGAAATAAAAACAGGAAATCTGTCAGACATGAAAGATTAAACATAAAATCACAAATGTCTAAAACAGATTTTATTTTCTGGTCCGTCTCTCGTCTGCATCCAGGGACATGGTTTTTCGTCTGTTTCCTGACCAACATGCTGAGTTCTGGCAGGAGGAATCTGGGCTCGGCATCCAGAACCGAGCTCAGCCGGCTTTTGGCTCAACGACGCTTTTGTTTGTTTGTTTGTGCAAATCGCAGGAAATCAGGAACAGCAGAACTGGAATGCGGCCCGTCAGGGGCCACGACCGTGCTCGCTTGTTAGACGACTTTATCTACGATGAAAAATTCCACCTTTACATCAACACATGAGTCCTTTTCACCTTCACAGAATTCCTGTAATTCACAAACAAACGAGTTCCATCAGAATGATGTAGAAGTGTTCATGTGAGACGCAGAAGATTCAAGTTTTAACCTTCAAAAGGAAATAAAACATTTTATTTATTAATATGTGAGGTAATATTTAACTTTTTATTTCTCTATTAAGACACGTTACCATCAGCTTCAGCATCCAGATGTTCAGCTTCATATTTAAACCCAGTTCTGACCCAGTAGAACCTCAGGTTCTAGAGCTCCGTCTGGAATCAGGATTCAAACGGAGACGATCGGGCAGACAGGGAATCTCCCAGTCCAGAGGCTGTTCACAGACTAAATTAGATATGATTAGAACATCTGGCAGCTGGAGCTGCAAAATTCTGCTAATGGTGTATAAAAGGGTTTTGAACCAGCAACCTTTTCTTTCTGATACTAACTCGAAACATTTTGGTGCTTCAGATTTCTGTAGCTTAAACATAAATTATGAAACGTGTTCTTATCACAGAGATGCTGAAAAGTTCCCTTTAACCTGACTGCGTTGTTGCCGTGGAAACAGAAGCTTTAGGAACTGGATGTCCAGCCTTTCACTTCCTCTGACATCAGAGCTGAAGCTCATCTGAAGCCTCGCTGGTTCGGTTACAGACGGCGGGCTCAGAAAACGGTCCGTTTGATTCGATACGAAGCAGAAAAAGAAAAGCCGTGTGAGCTAACGAGACATGAGCGAGGAGTTAGTAATTAGAGCGATTAAAGCGATAATCGATGGTGCGCGACCAGACTGAGCCCAACTTTCATTCACTTTTAATGGAGATATGTCCAATAACTGCGATCAGTTCACTCCAGACCCGTCTCGTTCTGAAACAATCATGTGAAAACACTTTTATCGCTCTAGAGCTCATCTCAGCTAGAGGACGTAAGAATAAACCCATATTCATGCTTTCATCTCAGACAATTAAAGGATGAGGAAACGGGAAACACGGACCGTGACACAGGCTCCGGTGGTGGAGTCGCACACCGTCAGGATGGAGATGTTCTGGGCCCGGTTCAGCCACCTCACCGCCGTGCGGGTCTTACCGATCCACTTCACCATCGTCACATAGTGTTCCCTATCAGGGCGGCCGGTGCACGCCAGCACAGAAAAAACAGAAAAACACCGATGTCAAACCAGGGTGTCCAAGCCAAGGCTCACGGGCCGTCTGAGCCCTCTGAGGGACTTGTGTGGTCCCGACTAGAATCAGAGGAAGTTTTATCACGCCTGTTCAGACTTATACTAAAACCTAAAAACACTTGATGAAGTCTAATAAAAGCTGTTTTTGTCTTTATTTTTTAATTTGATGATAAATTAGAGATCTCTAGATTCAGATTTTTTTGTGTTGAAAGTTTTTTTAAGCCAATAAAATATAAATGCAACTAAATCGGTCTAAGTTTGTAATTCAGGCCCAGATCTTCCTACCACAAGTTTTTATGTGACATAAACAACATCACCATCCACTAAAACAGTTTCATCATAAATCTAGTAACAAACGCCTACAGGAAAAAGATAAATAAAACCCAACAGCAGGTGAAAGCGTTTACGTGAAGCTCTTATTCTGAAATACTTCCAGTAAGTTCTTTGTAACAAAGAAGTCTATGCACAATTACAGCTTGATAAATAAACTGTATTTAAATCCATCTCAGAGTAAACTGAACTCAACCCGAAGAGATATGTTTCTAAAATCTACCTGCTTTTATTTTGAAAAACCATTAGATTAAATGTTTCACCTCACCTGAGCTGAGATTAACCGCTAACAGTTTATTATCTGACCTAATAGAGCAGATGACCAATTAAAGCTGATAAAAAAAAACACGAGTTTTAAAAGGTCAAAGGTTGCTGGGGAAAATCCGAACTCCGCTCACCGCAGCCTCAGCATCTCAGGAGGCATCAGCTCCAGCGTGTGTGTCGGCCCGTAGATGTTCACCACGTAGAGCTTCACCATCGGATTGGGCTGGCCCGCCTGTAGCAGGGAGCAGAAGCGTCACATAATCCAGGAAAACTCAGATTCCCAGATTAAGAGAGTTGGGATTAATTACACATGAAGTCATACTACACGTGTGTGCTGGAGCTAAGGGAGGAGCCCAAACCATCAGCCCTCCACCTCCATGTTGATAGAGATCATCTGTTTGTGCTGCAGTGCATTGTGGGTAACCAGCTCCATAAATCCACCCTAAAATGACCTGTAGTGATCATTGACCTGCTGACTGAAGCCTGTAGAGTCTCCTGGGTTTTTATCTGAGCATTGACCTTTGACCTCAGGGTGAACCTGCTGAGACAGCTGTCTTAAGGTCTTAAGGTGTTCCGATACTTAGGTGCGGAAGTTGACCACGCCCCTTTTGCACCCTTGATCCGCACTTCCCCCAAGTCCACATCAATGCGGACTTGGGGGAAGGGTTTTACCCACAATCCTTTGCTGTGGGAGAAAGGCTCAGGTGCCTCTTCTGAACATATTTAGGATGATTAATCGTTTCTCTGAATATTTCAGATGAAGCATTAATGAATGTAAATGTTGTCAAATTATCGTTTGGTTGTTTGTTTGAAAGTTGTTAATAAAGATTTTTTTAAAGTAGCAGAGCGACCAACATCCCAGCATGCATTGCGGTCGATGACTGAATGCTCCCTGTCCCAATTCAGCAATTCTTCACACACTAGTGCGCCACGCACTGGAAGCCTCACTGCACCCTTCCTCCAAGTGTCCTTCACAGAAGGCCGTAGGGCGCAGAGCAAGTACTGGGATTGGGCCATAGACTCATGGAATCCAAACTGTTTGGAAATGACCTTTGACCCTTTCCAGATTAATGGGCTGTGTCTCAGAAGAAATCCTAACGTCTTTCTTCCTCGTGTTAACACACACCTGTATGCTCCAGAGGAGCAGACTGAGTAAAATCCTGCTTTTACAGACGATCCAATCAGATGATTCAGGATCAAAGCTTAATATCAGGATAAATAACCTGATATTAAGCTTTAGTGACGTTACCTTTGGGTAGGGGTATTGCTTTCCTTTCGGGTACGTTGAGCCAGTGAAGCGAGGTAACGCCATGTTGGGCACCAGAGAGTCGTTGAGAACCAGGAAGGCCAACCTCTCCCCATCAGGTGACCACCAGTGAGCCGTGTGGGTCTGCAGGATCTCCTCTGTTGCCATGGAAACCATAATCAGTCTTTGAACCTGACTGCTCTAACTTCTTCTAGTCTTTATCTAATCAGAACCTGATTCACCTGAACAATAAAACATGGTAAAATAAAAAGGCTAATAAAAATATAATCTATACATTTATTTTCTAAAGTGCAGACTTTGTTTCTTTGCTGTTTGGATTAGAAGTTACCTCAGAGTTTTGAATTTTACTACAGAAAAACAAACTGGCAGTAACAGTGTGGTTCATGCTTTCCTTTTTTATTTTAATTATCCAATTATAATTGTCCATTAATCAGGGAAATGCTTTTCTATAGTAACGACGGACGCACACAGACACAGCAAAGCAGAATAAGGTGCTGCTAATGAAAAGGAACTCAATTAGAGTCTGATCCAGGGTCAACCATCACTTATTGTTCTATAATTATACAACATAAAGTAATTACCAGCAGAGCCGGGTAAAACTGGCCGTTTGTGTTTGAGTAAAGCTCATAAATCCACTCCTCACACCCAGTGGGGAAACATCAGCTCCAGAACAAACATCATGAATATTTCATAACTTCCTTTTATGCTAAAATATTCCCATTTATAAACAAGCGTTTTCTGCTAAACGAGACTGAGCGTCAACACGACCACTTCAGCCAGCGGAGACATCATCACTCACAGCAATATTTAATATTCCGCTGCTAACCGCTTCCCAACAGCAGCGTGGGATTTAATCCCACTCCTGGATCAGCCGACGGACACACTCACCTTCGTAAAGCCAGTCGGCGATCCCGTTGAAGATGACCCCTTCCTTCCCTGAAGACGTCAGCCTGAGGGAGTTGCTCTTCACATGAGAGCGGTAGTAGATGTTGTTCTCAAATATGTAGATCTGCAGAGGTGAAAGAGCTTCATCAGTCAGGTCCAGAAGAACCACCAGGGCTCTTGCTGTTTCTGCTTCATGAAGCATGAAGAACCATCTCAGGTCCCGTCTGAGACCAGATGTTCTGACTTTCCTTAACTGGTCAACAACCTCCAGATTCCTCAAGAATTTAAACGAGCCGCTTGTTTCCTGATCAGAGAAACCGGATCTTTAACGTGTTCTCCTCCAACAAGTTAGTGAGTTCTGATCAGTACTCAACTTGTTCAGCCTGAAGAACTAAATGAGCTGAATGTCATCAGAAACAGGAGTGGACCTGAATCAGAGCCCTGAGGAACCCCACATGGCAGAGAGGATCTGGTTTATACTGGAATGTGAGACCTGAATCAGTCAGACCCAGTTCCAGTGAACCTCACCAACTCTGATGGTGATGATGAAGAGCAATGGCTGATGGGGTCAAAGGTCACAGAAAAAGAGCCAGGTTTTAATCATCTGCATTTATTTTACTTTTATTCTCTAAAGTTATTTCAGTTATTTCCTTTTTTATTTCTAACAGAGGGAAAATATTCTGCAGATTTTATTTTAGGTCTAATAAAGAAACTCTTCTGCTCTAAAATGCTAAACCGCCACAGGACGTTAGAGCAGTCGTGTTCTACAGCCCAAACCCAAGACTTCCGGAAAATAAAGTCTTTTTATAGGAACCAATAACATGTAAGGGTTAAACTCATCTCAGAGGTTTCAGTCCCTGAACCGAGCATTTTCCTTTAGACGGTGCTTCTGCAGACTTGGCCCAGGGCTATAATTAAGCAGCATCTTGTTGCTGTAGAGCCAGAGATTTGGCTTCAGCCTGTAATTCAGCATCAATAAAAAGATGTAAAAGCAGTTTGTTTATGTTAGAAATCCATAAACAAGCCGAACACAAACACGTCTTTGAAACCAGAGAACAGATAAACCGGGCTTCACGGGACCAGACCCCTAACTTAGGTGGGTGGCGGCGTCCCAGCGTAATGCCACCATTCCACTTTCTAAAGCTGTGCCAGCCCAAACTAAATGGAGTGCGTCCCAGTCACCAGCTGGTTGCCGCTCTGCCATCTGAGCTAATATGGCGGAGCGGTAATTACCCCGATTCACCCCAGAAAGAACAAATAATAAAACCGGGATCGTGTTTAAAGCTGAGCAGACCCCAACTCCCAACCTCATAAGATTCCTCATCATGTCAGAGACACCTTTGTTGGGATGTCAGAGAGCTAACGTGGAACTCTGGGATGGGAGGGAACTGTTCCAAAAGCTATCCTACAGAACGGGACGGAGCCGTGTCTGGATCTGCTCACCAGCTGCTGGCCTTGGACTCCCCAGGCAGCGTACTGAAGGACGGAGTTCACCACCTCAGGAGGATCCAGCTCCCAGACCTCCCTGAACAGAGAACAAACATCAGCAGGTGGATCAGCGGCTCCTCTGGCCACAGATGTTGGGCTGACCTCAGGTCAGTTTGGTGATTAATCTGAGTCAGATAACTTCTGGAACAAAACTAACTATCCAGGAAACATCTGGCTTCCTGTCACATACATGCAGAATAACTCAGAACTCAGCTCATCTTTCTCAGAGTGCCTGGTTTCAAATAACAAACGGTGAGGTTTGTTCTGCAGGTTCCTTCAAAGGGACCAAGTACTCACCGTGTGTGAATATTATAGATGCTGTAGGATGCCACGTAGGAGTGACGGTACACCTGGAAACACACAGAGACAACGGGAAAGATGGCCATGTGGATGTGAAAGACGACATCAGGGCAGAACATTAAAACAGGTCCGCCTCAAAGACAACAGAGTGCCAGCTGTTCTCCCAGATACCATCATTCCCATTTGCATGGATGACAGCTGTGGGCCGCCACGTTCTAATTCCATCTGAGAAACGGATCACGACAGAGGGTCTCTGCTGGGAAATCTTAGGAGAGACAGAGGAAGGAAATCTACGGAACAGACGGGCGGATGTGAACAGAGACAGGTAGAGGAGGCTGTCCTCAGATAAAGACGGGAGAATTCAAACTTCATCAAAGTGAGATGGAACAAAGATGGAGAGAATAAAAGGAAAGTTTCCTCACTAGATGATGGATGCAGATCATTTGGGTCTGTTACTGATCAACGAGCTGAATAAATACAAATAAATGGTTTACTGATTTTATCCAACATCCTGCTTATTAAAATATTAATTACTTTATTTAAATTTCTTCCAGGATTCAACTCAGCTCTAAAACTAACATTTTATTTAAATTCTCCTTTTGAAATGTCACATGATGCAAATACCCCCCAGTGGAGGGCCAATCAGAGAACACCTCGGTTAAATAACTACTGAAGATTTTACACAGTGGGACCTGGCATTGTAACGCATCCTCTGGCTCTCTGGTTGCCATGGAGATGCCTCCTGACTGATGCAGCTTCATGTTCGCCTTTCTCGTGACAGCAGACTCTAAACTAGCCGGCGTTGTGCAGAATCGGGCCAAACTTTTCAATTAAAGCCAACTTGTGCCGGTCGGTATGTGAAGCCGAGTTAGGAAAACTGCTCTTATTTAGTTTCAGACCTGGAAGCTAAACATTCTCCAACCTTTAAGGATTTTTTGTTTTTAGATCTGCTTTTCTGCTGTGAGGAATTTATTGCGAATAAAAGTGAAAGAAATTAAATGTCTCCGTTTCCTCAGGAGAAAAACCTCGTTAAGCTCTCAGAACAAGTTTACTTTATTATGACGTTAGTTTAAATGATGTTGCAAAATAAACTAAAAATACAAGAACAGAAAAATAGGAATCCTTTAAAAACTATAATCCTGCCATTGTTTTCGTTCGTTTTCAGATGAACTCCCAGTTCTGCTCCAAGGCTCAGGTGTTGCTTTCCTAAAATAAATGATCCATCAGGAGATTTGTTTTCTTCTGAAACACCAGACGAGCTCAGAGGTTTGTGTCGTCTCTCCGACCTGCTTCCAGCTCTTAGCTCATTAGTTTTTTATCAGCAGTTGTTCCTCCAGGTGGGACGCTGGAATATGAACTCATCTCCTATGAAAATGGAAAACTGCTGATTGTTTTTACACGACTCCACCGGCATTATCCTCTGCAGGCACAGCTGGAGGAAAAAAAGCTTTCCTGCGTTCTGCTCCGGCAGCTTTTAACTAGCCGATCCGTGTTCCGGTGGCAGATAGTCGGAAAAAACAAAACAAATACAAACGCTAGACGAGTAAATACAGAACCTAAACACACACACATACACACACACAGACAGAACACGCAAACACACAGACAGAACACACACACACAGATTACACACACACACACACGCACACACGCACACACACACACACACACACACACACACACACACACACACACACACACACACACACACACACACACACACACACACACACACACACACACACACACAGGATTCAGGTTTAAACTCCACATTTCTTCATCTTTTATAGGAAAAGCAGAAATTAGAACCCATCAGACATAAAACTGGAACTGGAAACCATAAATCTGAAAATAGCGAAGCTGCAAAGATTCTGAGGTTAGAATAAAATTGTAAATAAATAAAAGATGGCGGCTCTCAGCTGTGACCAACATGAATCCCAGAGATTAGGAGCTTTTGTTGGATTTAATTTGTGCAAATTACAGATGAATTTGCTCTAAAATGGAAACATGGACAAGAGATCCTAACAAAATCCAGTTCCTTTGGTGAGATTTCACTGTTGAGTCTAGTCACTTAATCCATCAAATCCCTGAATACATTCACATACTTAACTGCAAATGTTTAGAAGATTTAATCTGAAAAACCAGATAAAACCACTTCCTGTCAGATCGAAAGAACAAAAATACTAAATGACTGCTTTAGTCACCAAAATGGTGAATGGCCTGTATTTGTACAGCACCTTCTTATCGTTTTACAGTCCCCCAAGCATCATTACTATCAGTCATTCACCCATTCACACGCTGGTGGTGGTGACCTACGATGTAGCCACAACCACACACACACACACACACACACACACACACACACACACACACACACACACACACACACACACACACACACACACACACACACACACACACACACACACTCACTCTCTCTCTCTCTCTCTCTCTCTCTCTCTCTCTCTCTCTCTCTCTCTCTCTCTCTCTCTCTCTCTCTCTCTCTCTCTCTTGTGTTTTCATGTTCAGGACTCCGGTTCTCTAGAGTCATGTTCTGGAGAACCAGCTCCGGAGTCGTCCACTCGCAGCACCAAGGCACTAGTGTGCACGTTCTGCAAGAGCGTGCACGTTTTGACAGCTCTGACTAAATATTTTATCATCATGTTTCTCTCCTCCACCTCTGCTCTGCTATGCAGGGACCGTCTTCTGCAGCTTCATGGAACTAAATCCGACCAAAGTTCTGCTCATGAATTAAACAGGAAGCTGCTGCTGGTTCTGCTGACGGCAGCAGAACCATATTTTTATCTTTTCTGTTTATCAGAAGCACAAAAGACTCAAATCTAGTGAATATTATGAATGAATCATATCAGAGATGTGTTGTTCCAATTATAATAATGTCTAATATTTCTGATTCATCTCCATGAAGACCTCACACACCTAGTTTCTTCTCTGTGGGATCCAGGCTATCAGCTAGTTCTACGTTACCCAGATTGGACTAGCAGCCAACCCATAATGCACCAGAACCAGAACCAGAATGAACTGTTGGGTAAAGATCTAAAACAAGAACCAACAACACGGCTACAAAAGATCTGGGAACGATGGTCCAGTGCTCATGGTCTAGTCAGACTGACCCTGCTGGGAGGAGACCTCGCCTCGGACCAGAACCAGAACCAGAACTTGATGAATGGGTGGGTTCATTATCCTGCATCTGTTATGTATAAATGTAATATTTCCACATTAAACTTGTTCCTTCATCACTTTAACCTTCAGCCATGAATAAAAATGGCCTCCAGCTTTATTGGCTCCATTATTCCAAGTTGTAACCTTTTATCCAAAATATGCAAATTAACTCGGAATAATGGTTGCGTCACTAATCCTCACAGCTGATCCCCTCCACTGTGGAGGGTCTGATTTACATATCTCATTCTGCATCTTCTCTTCTCCATCGGAAAGCTGTAATTGTGCTTTGAGCTCGCCCTGCTGCTCCATTAGTGAGAGAACGTGACCCGCCGGAGTCATGGAGGGATTATAATCCTCATCCTGAATGGGATTTGGAAAACTGCAATCATTTCTCAGCTGGTTTTGTCACAACTAAGTCAAATATGAGCTCTCAGATAACGTTCAGTAACAAAGGGATGTCCAAAGAGCGGCCTATGGGCCGTGTGTGGCCCTTGGGGGGGATGTGTGCGGTCCATCCAGTCCTTCTCTACCAAACACCAGCAGATTATCATTAACCATAGAAGAAAAAACGTTTGTTAAGTGGCTCAGGTGTGTTTCAGCATCTTACCTGTTTCACATCATAGGCAAACAGGACGTATTTCAGATCAGGAGACACCGAATATTTGGCCACGTTGAAATTAATCTGAAGAAAGAAAGTATAATTCTAACTTCAAAAGATAAACCCAGAAGAACATTGAACTACAGACTCGTGTTTCTGCTTACAAAGGTGGTGTTGGTCAGGATGATGTCGGTCTTGTTGGTGATGATGTTGAACTTGATGACGTGGCCGTCGCTGTTCCTGTAGATGACCTCAGAGTCTGGAGACAACGATGAAACACCAGTCAGATTAATCCACCTGATGAGTTTAAGGGTTAAACTAGGATTATCTTGGGATGGAATCATTCTTATTCCTTTAAGGAATGATTTAAACACAACATCCCATAATTTCACTCTTCCTGTCAGCACTCAGAGTGTGTCGTGATGACAAGGGAGCCAAGGATCAACAGCTCCACCCGGCTGAGACGGTCAGGACCATCTCCAGGGACCGTTGGACCAGAGGCGAAGCTACACCTGGACAGGCGTCTGATCCAGATCTGGAATCATCAGCAACAACTTTATAAATAATTAGCTGTGGTGGTCATTGGCTTGTTTAGAATTCTCAGGGGGTGGAGTTATTTGAATGGAAGCGTTACCAGACCCAACACTTCCCACAAGGAAGCACGGGGTTGGCTGGCCAGGCTAACACTGGTTACCAGTAAACTACAGAATCCAGTTCACAGTACCACTATTAGTTCATAAATCACTCAAAAGGCAAGGGGGACAGAATACATCACCATCATCATCACCATCATCATCATCATCATCACCATCATCATCATCACCACAATCATCATCGTCACCACCATCATCATCGTCACCATCACCATCATCACCACCATCATCATCGTCACCACCACCACCACCATCATCATCATCATCATCACCACCATCATCATCGTCACCATCACCATCATCATCATCACCACCACCATCATCATCATCATCATCATCACCACCATCATCATCGTCACCACCATCATCATCATCATCATCATCATCATCACCACCACCATCATCATCATCATCATCATCGTCACCACCACCATCATCATCATCATCATCATCATCATCATCATCACCACCACCACCACCATCATCATCACCATCATCAGCATCATCAACATCATCATCATCACCACCATCATCATCGTCACCACCACCATCATCATCATCACCATCATCACCATCACCATCATCATCATCACCACCACCATCATCATCACCATCATCAGCACCATCATCATAATCACCATCATCTCCACCATCATCATCATCAGCAGCACCATCATCATCATCATCATCATCACCATCACCACCATCATCATCATCACCATCATCAGCACCATCAGCATCATCACCATTATCATCATCACCACCATCTTCATCATCACCATCATCACCATCATCAACATCATCATAATCATCACCACCACCATCTTCATCATCACCATCACCACCATCATCCCCATTATGATCATCATCACCATCATTATCATCACCACCATCATCACCATCATCATCACCATCATCATCACCACCATCATCACCATCATCATCATCACCATCATCATAATCATCACCACCATTATCAGCATCAGCATCATCATCACCATAATCATCACCACCATTATCAGCATCAGCATCATCATCACCACCATCATCACCATCATCATCACCATCATCATCACCACCATCATCACCATCATCATCATCACCATCATCATAATCATCACCACCATTATCAGCATCAGCATCATCATCACCATAATCATCACCACCATTATCAGCATCAGCATTATCATCACCACCATCATCACCATCATCATCACCATCATCATCACCACCATCATCACCATCATCATCATCACCATCATCATAATCATCACCACCATTATCAGCATCAGCATCATCATCACCATAATCATCACCACCATTATCAGCATCAGCATCATCATCACCATAATCATCATCATCATCATCATCATCATCATCATCATCATCATCATCATCATCACCATAATCATCATCACCATTATCATCATCACCATCATCAGCACCATCATCACCATCACCACCACCACCATCATCATCATCATCATCACCATCACCGTCACCATCATCACCACCTTCATCTTCATCATCATCATCATCATCATCATCACCATCATCACCATCACCATCATCATCATCACTATCACCACCATCATCACCATCATCATCACCATCATCACCACCAGCATCATCATCTTCATCATCACCATCATCATCATTTACTTAGCTGTAAGGCACATTAACAACCAAACTAGTCAGACATGTCACCTTGAAAATGTAATTTCATCATTATGTAGCGACATGAATGGCCTCATTTATGACCCAAAGGTCACACTTCCCCAGCTAGGTCATGCTGTCCTGGCTGAACTTCTATCCACAGATTATCCGTTACAGGAGACATGACATCTGCTAAACCATCTTTAATCTGACTGCCTTGTATATGTCTGCTGTTCCATCCCAAGATGAAGGACACATCAAGATTTAAAATAATCATTTTTAATAAACTCTTTTCACTGTTTATTACAAAGTTCATAAATAATCATCATAAATAATCATCATGGTTCATTATAAATGTATTTAATTACTGAAATGACTTATTATTCTTTAGTTAATAATAATTATTATTTATGATAATCAGTAATGTTTAACAGTAACCAGAAGGTCATGTACACCTATACACATCATGCAGGACTGAATTCAGGTTAAAGGTAACCAAAGCTTTCTATCTCTGAGAGGGCGTGTCCTGAGTTTTAATAAAACCAAACTCTTCAGTTCAAGTTCAGTTCTGAACCAACCCAAATCTCTCCATGGCACGAGAGTCCCAGAGGATAAGGGTCGGCCGCCCGAAGCCTTCACCTAAGCTGTTCTGTCACGCCGATAGAATCGCTCCGAATAAACTCCAACGGCACCACCTGATGCAAAACTCCTTCAGAGTTAAGATAAGATTCAAGCTCAACACCTGTGTACCAGCGGCAACTCTAGGACCAGAGAGTCGGTACCACTCGGGTCTTCCCTACCAGACCGAGTACCCAGAGGCTGACAACATCCTCCCTTTGACCTCCGGATCCACACAGAGGGTCGTCTGAACGGTGAGGTAGAACACAGATTGTGTCCGATGCTGTTCTCTCTAAGAAACAACTTAGTTAGCTGCAAAACAACTCTTTCACCCAGAACGCGTTATCTCTCTCTGAAAGAAACCTTCTGAGATTCCATCCACGCATCCTGGTTATGTAGATTATCTACGCTACAATTATTAGATTTGACAATAATGATAAACTCAGAACTTAAATAAAAAACTACTTGATGTACTTTTTATGTATGTTTGATGTATTTTTGTTGCAGCTTAACATATGAATAACATGGTAGATACGATATTTAACTGCAGCTGAACCATTTTTAAAATATTTATTTGATCTTAAATTGTTTTTAGTTTTATTAATTTTCTACAAGAAAACATGTGAAGACCTGAAACAAACCTTACCAAAAAAATAAGACTTTTTTATTTAAATAACAATTCTAAGTAACCTTTATTTATTCATAAGTAAAATATGTACTAAGAATTCTGGGATATCTGCAACTCTCAAGTTCCGACCGACGGGTTTTAAATAAACTCTTGTTTTATTAAAGCTTCTTTGGGCTTTTGGTTTGTTTAACAGTGTTTTCTGAGCTAAATTTATTTTAATCCCATTCGGCTGAATTTAGGTCATCCCGCTGATCATTTGTAGTTCCCAGTTAAAGAATCCGCTGGGAATCAGGTTTAGTTCTTTGTGTCCATTTCAGGTAAAACTGATCATTCGTCCAGAACTTTGGTTTACCGCTCAGTCGGTTTTATATTCTTCTTTTGGCCCGCTCTTCCGTCCAAACCAACCAGTAATAAAGTTTAAAAACTTGGCCTGGGCCACCGGGACCAGGATCAACAGTTCTGAACTACAAAGCCCACAATTCCCTGCTGGGAGACGGAACTTTGTCAAAGTCGGAGAAAAGTTCTGTTTGTTTTAATTAAAAAGATCCAATCAGGAAGTTGGGCATTTATCCTTAAGCGGAATCAAATAAAGGTCAGAAACATGAGCTAATCGATTAGTTATGTCTGATCGGGGAATAAAATATGATCTGATTTGTCAACACAATATAAAAAGTCACCAGTGGATTTTAAATAGAAGGGACATTTTTAAATGAAATATTTAGCTAAGATGTAACTTCAGTCGGACTCAGGAGGAGTGGGATGAGGAGATCCATCCACAGATATCCTTCCAGCACATTTAAATTTATCCATATTTTAACAGTTTAGTAAAATTACGGCTTTATTCTAACTCTGTTTTTTCACATCTTACTCAACAAATGCAGGGTTGATTTCATATTTAGATTTGCATTACATTTAGTTGTAAATCTCTAGGTTTAGACGTTTTTTTAATAGTTTTACAATATTTAGATTTAATTAGATTGATTTTAATATACACCATTATGTAAATAATTGATTCATTTTATTTATATGTAGTAAAATTTAATGCTAAATATTCTGCATTGCTATTTATTTTGGAGATAAATGTAATAAAGTAGATGTTTAAGTCTGCGTTATAGGTCAGAGCTTCAAACGTATATGAGGCTCCTGAGAAAAACAAAGCTGAGTTTCATACCCACTGGCCACTTGATTGGGTACACCTGTCCAACTGCTCGTTAAAGCAATTTAATCAGCCAATCACATGGAGGCAGCTCACTGCATTTAGGCATTTTTGTCACGGTCCAGACGACCCACTGCGGTTCAAACCGAGCTACAGAACGGGGAAGAAAGGTGATTTAAGTGACTGTAAACATAGCATGGTAGTTGGTGCCAGACGGGCTGGTCTGCGCATTTCAGAAACTGCTGATGTTCTGGGATTATCACGCACAACCATCTCTAGGGTTTACAGAGACTTCCAGCAGGATAATGCTCCATGTCATAAAGCTGGAATCATCTCAGACTGGTTTCTTGAACATGCCAACGAGTTCACTGTTCTCAACGGCCTCCACAGTCATCCGATCTCAGTCCAATAGAGCAGTGGTTCCCAACCTTTTTCCCAAGGGACCCCGTTTTTTACCAGTAACATTTTTGACAACCCCCTCCCATTCTCTCTTCCAGTACAAACAGTAATAAGAAATGATAAAATTGTTCAAGCACATTTTAATATGC